TCATATAAAATATAATTTCTTTTTTATATGATTACATATATTAATGAACTTTTAATTAGAATATCAAATCCAATTGTTGAATTGATAAAATATAAATTACACAAAAAATTACAACTCATGTAAAATATATTTTCATACCCAAATAAAATTATTTGTCTTAAGAACTGATTATATAAAGAAAGAAATGATTCATTTATCTAACTCCTAAATATTTTCTTTAAATTTAAAAAGGTCCTTATAATTCAAACACAAAAATAAATTTTGTAATAATTAAAAATTAATATACTAAATTAAACATTTTTCAAAAGCTTAGGGGGTGACTACCTGCTTGTTCCCCTGTGAGTGCGTTTGCAATTACAGTTGGGATTTTTTTTTTTTTTTTTGTAGTTGTATAATATTTTTAGATATATATGTATTTTATAATTTTTTTGAATTACTTTTTAAAAAAATTGCAAAAAACCATAATAAATTTATAGTAATTTTATATATAAAGTTAAAAACCTTATTTTGAAGATTTTTTGATGTGTCTTTCACGGATAACAACTAAATATCAAAATAATTTTCAGCCACAAGTATGGTATAACACAATTTAACACATCTATAGTTATAATCATAGGTACAATACTTCACAGTAATCTTAAATGCACTTGCAATTTTATTGTATATCAAGTGTGGATCGAGAGAGAGCTGAAAATTTCTTAGAATTTCCAATGAATAAATGACGCGGTGAAAATATCCATGGGATGCCCAATAAATTCCAAAGCAAAAAGTAAAGCCACAGAAACAAAGTATCACAATTAGAAAAAAAAAAAGAAAAGAAAAGAAAAGAAGGGGTATCACCAAAAGGAAATTTTTGTGTAGTTCTCCCTAATGTCCTAAACACTCTATTATGCCTGCTTAAACACTAACTTGCATGTCAAAGTGTCTCCTTGCAGTCTCAACACACCTAGACTTTGTAAAATACCTAAAATGGACAAGCTGAGTTAGAACAGGGAAGTCAGAGATTGACATTACAAAATTGAGCTAATTTGTACAACACACTTGTTCATCTTATCGGCTAATCTTTACAAAACATGAGTATTTAGCGATTGGTTAAATGGGAAATTTAGTTATTAAAATTTTAATTTTAGACAATTTTAGTCATTAAACTTTTTTTAATATTTTTTTGTCCCTTGACCATGAAGTATGTATTTTTTTCCTATGTTCGTTAGTTTTGCCCATTAAGTTTATTTAGCTAGCTTTTCTTATCCCTAAACTTTCATTTTATGCACATTTAAGGCATTAAAAGTAATTTGAGAAATGTTAGTTTAATAGACATAGGGTGCATTTGAGACTACTATGAGATATTGTGATTGTAGTTGAAATTCTAACTATGTTAAAATGTGTTGAGTTGTACCAGTAGTTGAAAGTTATTAAAAATTTAAAAATATTATGATGTATAATTACTAAAATAGATAACATTTATTACTTTTTTAATAATTTAGGTTTTTTAAGTTTTTATGATGGGTGTTCTTTTAGATTTTGTGGGAGAACAACTCATGAGGAGAGAATAAATTTTTAATTTTTATGAAATCTTCAAATAAATAATAGAATATGTTTAAATAAAATATTATAAATTCTGATGTAATTGAATAAAATGAGATTGAGTTTTAAGAAATAATTTTGTAATTGAATTAAATATTAAATTTTGTCACTGAAAATCATAACCAGAAAACATGAAAATGAGATTTCTAACTATATATATATAATTTCTATGAACTTATTATGACTTTCTATAATTTTTAAAAAGGCAATTTGAAAGAAATTACCAAACATATATATATATATATATATCTAAAAACACTATATAGTTATAAGAAAAACCCTTCAATCACAATTCCAAACACATCCTTAACAGACAAAAATAACAAAAAATATACATTCTTTATAATTAAAAAAAAAAAAAATTCAGCAATTAAAATTATTCAAAATTAAAAATTTAATAACTAAATTTGAGATTTAACCCTAACGGTGTGAAGATGAAGAATTAGGATAAAGACGGTCAGACCCGAATGCGTCGCTTGGGGACTCTAATTGGTGCCCTTGATCGGTCTCCACCACCGCAAATCTAACCCATTATCGAAGCCATATGCGGAATTCTATTTCTGCTTATATTAGGGTAACCTGCATGAAATGTCACCTATCTTTATCATAATTTTTTATTTAGTTACTCTCTTTGAAAATTTATAAACTAGTCACTCATCTTTAATTTAATGTTTATCCGTGCATCATGTCCGTTAACTGATCAATTCCATTCATTTTTACGCTAAAATGGCACCAAAGAGTGGCCAACTCTCCATAAAATTATCTTACAAGGTGCATACATAAAAACAGTAGTTTTTTTTTTCATTAAAAAATTTTTAGGTAACAAAAAAAAAAAAAATACAAATGTTAAAATATTATCCTACATGGCTCCTACATGAAAATAATACCTTTTTTTTAGTTAAAAAACATTTTTTAGCCAGATAAAAGGAGAATTTGATCATATGTAACTTGGATTACCTTTTCTTTTAAAAATATAAAACATACAAAATAAGACAATATGTTCAAATAGCCACTATAAAGTGCTCCATATGATATAATTTTCAATAAAACAAAACGCAATATTTATCAAATAAAAATTCTAAATATAAAAAATGGTAACTACAAAATTATTTCCACCTTTTATAGCAAATTTAAATGCAAGTATATTCTTCCTTGAATATTGCTTGACAGCTTCCTTCAATTGTTCCCTACTTGTGAACAACATCACAACTCTATATTGAGGATTTTCCATATCAACCTCAGGATTAAATTCAGGGAACTTGCTTTCTAAAAGTTCCCATCACCCTCTAAATCATGATCATTGTTAAAAAATATGACTTTCCACATTCATTGCCATCATTTTCATCCAAATTTCCTTATTTTGCAACAACTAAATCAAAAGCGATGAACACTTTGTGTTAGAATCTATTGAGAGTAAGGGGTTGATGAGTCAGCGATGATGATGATGTGGAAGTTGACTAGGATGCCACCTACGGGAGATGAGGAGGGTCCTTTTAGCTTGCACCTGTTTCACATGTGAAAGACTATGTGCCACAAGCCATGAACCATCTCCCTTTGTCCAACAAAGATGGTCAATACCGAGTTCCCTAGTAAAGTCTAAAAGTGTAAATTCCTCAACCGAGCCAAGAGAGTTGGGCAATGATGACGGGGTTTCAAGAGCCAGGAATGATTACACAACCACCAAAATAATGAAAAAGAGATGTACATTATGGTAGGAGCAACAAGGATAGAAAATATATAAATATTAAATATTACAACTTGAGAGGCATGTTTACATAAAGTACATTGTCATATAATAGTAAACACAATAAATGTCCTCTCTACTATCGTTGACAAATACTCTAACTCTATAATGAGCAATCCTTATGTTGTGCTTAGAAACACAATAATCTTCTTCAAATTTTCACAGTACAAAAGAAATAAACTTGAAAATAGTGATGGGAGAAGGAAGGATGACTGTTGTGGGGGCTTTCAATGGTGGACTTGATCCCTTTTCTTGAACCTAACTTGACTGCAAATTGATCCCCTAATGCTCAAGAAAGATGACCAAAAATCTCAAGTAACAATATGAAACCTTCTAGCCATGCAGAACTGTAAGTCTGGGGATGAATTGATATGGTTGGAGACGTAGAAAAATATGAGAAAATAAAGATTTTTGAGAAATTTTGGTGGGTGGGGTGTGAAGTTGAAGATGAAGAGTTTTTCTTAGAGGAGAATGAGTCTAGTGTGTGGGATCTACTTTAAAATGAAGAAAATTTGTTCTGGAATTGAAAATCCCTTCAAAAGTGAAGGAAAAACTAAATATATATGTAGTAGCATTTGGTAATTTTAGGTTGGTAGGACCAGGGTAACCTAGTGAACCAATGGTTAGATTTAGGTGATACGAGGACAAGTGTCAAGTTTTGGGTGGATCTGAGTATTGTCGACAACCTTTGAAGTGAAATCATGATTTGTCTAGCATTTCCAACAATGGACCATTGGTTTGTTAGAGCCTTTCTACTTCTGGTAATTTTTTGTCCATACAAAATAACATATATGGAGGGGGGGGATTGGAAACTTGCTAGCAAAGTCATCTTTATCTAGCATTTTGGTGATTTCCCCAAGTAAAATATAATCTTTTTCATCAGTTTCCAATGCAGTGAAACTTGTGCAATGACCTAAACATTAAATATAGCTGCAAATTGGTGGTGGAGACTCAAATGGCATCTTTGGTTGATTTTTAATGGGATTCAAGGCCTTTTAGTTAGCATCAAATGGTGTAGTTTTGGGGTTAAGTCTTGCCTTCACATGTTTGCCACCTAGCCTTTCTTGGCAAAGTCAAGCAATATCGCCAGCTCCAAGCTTAGTTAATGTGAATACCTTACATTGCCAAATGGGCAACGTTCATCCATCCATGCTTATCAAGCCACTACTCTTATAGTTTATCTTGAATAAGCCCCATAAGCTTGGATTCATGGGTTTTTATTCATCTACAATAAAGAGCAAAATATGAATGAGTATTTATTGTTGTACCTATGATTTTTATGATTACAAAACACATTTGAATGATTAATTGGTTGATTTAAGTGTGTAGTTAAGTTGCTAAAAGATTGCAAGTAAACTTGGATCGCACTAAAAATAGACCAAAAGGATTCAAAATGGCAGAGAGCCGGCTCTGGAAGCTGCAGCCGGCTTTACAGGCAAAAATTTGAAGACTGTTGTTTGGCGTGCGCGGAGAAAAGACGCAAAGCCAGCTCCCACTTTGTAGCCGGCTGTGAGGGTGCATTTAATGCACAACAGTCGACTCTTTTGAATGTATTTAAAATCGGAATTCCAAAGCCGGCTCAAAGTCTTGCAGCCGGCTCCCGAGGAAAACAGAATGGCCTGCAAACCCGGATAGCCAGCTCTGAAAGTGTAAGTTGGCTCTGCAGAGCCGGCTCTAGAAAGCTAAGCCGACTCTCCTGACAAACCTGCAGCTCGAGCTTTGCGTCCTGCAGAGCATTTAATGACCCCCAACAGTTAGAAACGGCTATTTTCGAGCAAAGGGCTATAAATATGGATCTGAAGAAGTTTAGAGATGAACACATTGCAGATCTTTACCTACCTACTTGAGCTTAAACTTGAGTTTTTGATCTTTGAGTGATCATTGCTTGTAATCCTCTTCTCGTGCTATTAGTGAGTGATCTTGGGGGTGTGTTGATTCCTTCAAGAGTGATCTATTGAGAGGATTTGTGGGATTTACATTGTAAAGGGGTGAGGTTTGAGAGAAATGCTCATCTTCTTGTAAAGGATTGAGTGGCTCCTTTAAGCCACCATTGTTTTTGTTAGTGGAGAGTGTGGAGGAAATCCTTGGTGAGTGAAGCCAAGGTAGAGGACTAGGCTCCAAGTGG